ACAAGTAATTTACACAGACACGGATATATATATACAGATTGAAACATTTATTATTCAGTACTATACACTCGCTAAAATCGACCAAGATTGCACACTCCCGCGAGTAAAATAACACACAATAAAAGCATCACTGGAAGGATAATTATCGTTTGCACATCGATTATGACTTAATGTGGCTTTCTTAGGCATAAGGCCTTTTTAATCGCCTAACAAAATCTTAAGCTGTTCTTGATTAAAATTACATCTGAGAACTTTTATTCCAATGTTAGCCGAATATTATACAGTTATAAACTGTACACCAAAAAGTTTATATATATATAAAGTTATGATACATTTAACAATTGAGAGAAATTTATAAATAAATTTGGACAACTATATGCCAATAACAGAATGACGTACGTAAAGGACAAACACTGGGAATTAATTGCATTTTATAATAAAGACTAGCGAAAGTACCAGGATTCGCTCGGGTTATTATGTTGATATATTCTAGATGACTATGTGAGTGTATTCTGAACCTATTTTAGCATAGAAGAACAGTCACAAATATTTTAAACATATTTCTATTTCTCAGAAACATAAAGAAGTTATAAAGGCATGATAATAATAAAATTATTTTACATAATTATAGCTGCCATTGGGGCATGAAATCCAAAATGCATTTATCCAGATAGAATAGTTCGTTTAATGTCTACCCTTTACGATTTTAGTGACGGGGGTTCAAGGGGTCCGTGAAGGGGATTGCCGTGAAATCTTGTAACTATAGTGAATGTTGGTATGATTTAAAGAATTTAATAAATAAGCCTAAAGTAAAGACGCAGTGTGAGATAACTTAACCTAGAGTCAAGTTCTTAAAATTTATTATGAAAGTAAAAATATCGTTCCAATTTTAAACTTAAATAATAAAAATGAATAATAATAAAAAACTTCTTTAATCAACGGAGACTCTAAATTAAGAAATAAACAAATATATTTTTTCCATTTTCTAATTTATACATTTCACTTTATACGTTCAGTACATAGACTAACAACAATATCAGGTTATACTTTTGTTGCTAAACAACATGACATAAAAGCCATTATTAGAACGCATTGTTACCAAAACACATTGACTTTACATCTTTAGAAGATGTTATATAAGGAACCACTTCTTTTCTATGTGATATTTCGCTAGCTTGCCTCATTAAAAAGATGCGAACGCGCATGCGCGCACGCACGTAGATAAGATAGTAATAATACCCAGGTGCACACCCTCAAGGTTCACTTAATATGGGTGCAAAATTTCAGGTTTCTAGGTTCTTTCCTCTTGGAGCTATGGCGGTCACACACACACAGACACGCCCTTTATTATTATAGATGTTCATGATGCCCATAGGTCACCTTTTGTTTTAAGTAAAGATGTTTCTTTCATAGCTACAACCTTCACTTTTCAGATGCAGGTGTTGTTGTGGATTGGCCTGGAATGGGATTTCGGACCATGTTACTGTCCTAAACGCTCTCTATATAAGCTGTTCCATTTTCGAAATCTTCTAAATGTGTATCTTTTGGTTTTGTCTAAATCATTCAATAATCTTCTTATACAGATATCTTTCGTATAAAAGGGCTGAGGGATGCTTATCCAGCCATAAATCTAACTACGACGGCATTGTACTACTGAATGATTGGAAGTTTGCTGTGACCAAACGTATAGATGTTAAATCTGTTATACTTGGTATCAAAGCTCGCATGTGACGAAATAACACTTCATTACTTTAGACAAGTCGCTCTATAAAGTATGATTAACCCATTGTAAAACTAGAACAAACACTACATTGTAATAAAGGTAAAACATTTGAAAAAATAGTTTTAATATCCATTTGTAAATGACATAAATACAACTTCAAAAACAAAAGAAAAACAAGTAGATATGGATACTCAAGTCCATAAAATTCCACCTCTCAAACTAGCCTTTTCTGTCTGCAGCTAGATAGAAGTAAATGTGTGTCACTGCCTTTTTGGTTTTAATTTGGAGGGCAATCTCCATTTTTTTACTTTTACCAAATATAAAATGTATAAAAGTGATATAATTTAAATTTTGTATACCTTAATTAGATAAAGTATGTGAAAAGTACAATAAATAATCGAATAAAAAATCTACTTGTAGTATAATAAAACAAAATATCTTCTAAATTAAACCTCGTTTAACTGACAATTGAATTTTTTCGTAAAAGCTTTTTCACGATTCATTTGTGAATTATCGCATTCTCATGATAGAAAACAGAAAATATAAGGTTTTCTTGAGCTTAGCTTCAGAGTTTATGACACACTTAGAAAAAATAATTTCAATAAGGGACACGTCTATTCGCAAAATTTATTATGCGATATTTGTGTAAATGTAAATTCATACGTATAAATTCTGTTTGTCTCACATATCTTCCCACACAACTTGGGCTCATAAATGAAAAATGTAAAAGTATTTTATAAACTATATCCCAGCTTAAACTCTTAATTTCTGAAGTACATCACTATTTATAACAACATAATTGACATTTATAGCTCGATCCTCGCAAGTTTTGATACCTGGCGGTTTAACTTTTTTTTTATCGCGTTACCTGAATATCTTCTGTGATTTTTACATTGACGATAAATTGCTATTACTCGGTGCTCACTGAATATTGTCCTCAATCTGACCCCACAATTACTTACAGCATTCCTAATTCTGGGTACACTTGCATCAGAACAATAAATCGAAGTAACCGTCAGGACCTCTTGATCACTTTACTGTTTCGCGCAGGAAATAATATTTTCAACGAAGATGCCCGGCATGGCCAGGTGGTTAAGGCACTCGACTCGCAATCTGAGGGTCGCGGGTTCGAATCCCTGTCACACCAAACATGCTCGCCCTTTCAGCCGTGGGGGCGTTATAATGTGACGGTCAATCCCACTATTCGTTGGAAAAAGAGTAGCCCAAGAGATGGCGGTGGGTGGTGATGACTAGCTGCCTTCCCTCTAGTCTTACACTGCTAAATTAGGGACGGCTAGCGCAGATAGCCCTCGTGTAGCTTTGCGCGAAATTCAAAAACAATACAATACAATTCAACGAAGCCCACTGGATAGTATCTTCGTATTAATCTTTTTTTCTTTTATAAAATTCATTCAATCTTATCCTCCCTGTTTTTTTCCTCCGGTGGTAAGATTGTTTTTGAATTTCGACAGTGGTATGTCTTCGTATTTATACCGCTAGAAGGCGGGTTTCGATAGCTCTTTGTGTAGTTTTGTGCTTAATAACAAATAACAACAACCTACAGTATATCTTCCTTTCCTGAACATGTCGTGGAAACAGCTTATGTAGATGCAACTTGTGTCGCTTTTCCAGACAGAGTCCGATCCTTCTTGATTATGTTACCATGATCATATGATTAGATTTTGCCAATGATCTTAGTGTACGTAGAGTATCACTTCTAACAAGACGCTACACTTTGCTTACCACGACAGAGGTACGACTTGTTGCAAATATATTTCTGGATGGTCCTGTTCTCCCAAGTTTATCCGCATTCCTTTGTTTTCCAATGCCACTAAGTAAATTGCATATCCTACCTTTGAAAATCTATGTCACCATTTTGAATACATATTTATGAACGTATGGATATTTTGCTTGAGAAGAAGCCATTATATGCCACTTCCAAAAGCGATTAATTTTTTGTAGTATCAAACTACCTATGACGCGCCAAACAATGCCAAAATGTAGTTCTTATACAATCCGTTCACCGCGACTTTATATGTGATGTGGTTGTTACGTAGATTGTTGATTTGCATATTCAGAATAATTTTAATATAACGTACTCAACCGTTTATAATATCGGTGTCTATTTC